GCATACATAAGACATGTTAGTGGATAATCATCCAATTCAACCCCATTAAATGGTGCTTTATTCAAAGCCATTTCTAAATCGTTTAGAAAAAATGCAAATAAAATTGTATATATGTAATATCAAAGCAATTGGAATTGCGGTTTTCAACAAGAAGTCAAAAATATCACATTTTACCAAAAATGAACAAATCTGAGAGAGGTCTACCCAAGGTACATATACACTAAGTATCAAAGCATTCAGGCTTGTAGTTTTCAAGAAGAAGTCGAAAAAGAAAAACATTGACACGAACGATGACGGACGACGACGGACAATCACTCATATGATAAGCTCCGCTCGACAAAGTCGACAGCGGAGCTAAAAAAAGTGCAGACAAATTTGGGCGAGAAAGTCTGGTTGTGAAAAGGTTAAGATCAAATCTAAAAAAAATTCTTGGCAGTGTCTATAAAAAGTACTACTAATGTCAGTAATATTAATGACAGACATATTCACATTACTGTTTTACAAGCCTTATATTCATCTGGGATATGTGCATGTAATCCAACCATGAAAGTTCATTGACATGGTTCATACTCTAAATCACCCAAGATTCCTTATGCAGGACAGTAGCAACAACTGTTGCCATGGAAGGAATTCCATAAAATTGCAATACATACTACAAAGATTTATTTGAGTGGAACAAATGAAAACTGTAGTGTAAAATCCTTTAATTTCACTATTTTAATGTTTTCAGCTTCACTGGGTTTTAAGTTTACAAATTTGCCGGAGACACAATGAGTTCTGTTGTTATTTTACATGCTCATGTGGATCTAATTTTATAATTAGCGGATTATAAATAAGCGGAGTAAAATTAAAACCCAGTGAAAAATTAATGCATTTACAGTAATTAGATGTAGGCGCCTACATGTACATGGATACATAATGGCTAATGTCCTCTTGCGTAAAAGCACATCAACCTTTTCGATTGCCAGAAATTTTTTCAAAAATGTAAAATTTTCTGTAAATTTCATCATAATTTTGGACCATACAGACAGTTTCAAATATTGTTTTTAGTTTTTGATCAAAAGATTTATTATCAACATTTCACGTGGAGAGGAGCAGAATGTACAATTATATCATTTTGTAGATTGTGCCCAAACTGGTATAAATCTTCTGTGAAAGCTGAGAAGGCATGGACTCTGTGATACCATTTTACATACTGTATTTAATTATTAGTACATAACAATGAACTATATAATTTATAGTTCAGTGTGAAATATCACTACTGTATAATACTTTATTTTCACTTGAAATTTATTTTCTCTGGGATGATTCAGTGAAAATAAAAACCACAAAAATATTTTCCATATTTTACACATTCAAGTCATCAAAAATCAAAGAAAATAAATTCAAAACAAAACACCCAAAAAGTCCTTTCAGCGAAAATTAATTAGAGCTAAATAAAAATAAAGCATTTACAGTATTAAAGTGGTATTTCACATTAACTGTTGTGATATGCACAATAAGCGTCATCAGTCTATTTGTGCTCGAACAGTACATGGAGAAAACAAAATGGTGCGACAGTATTGTTTTTATTGCTGTGATATAAGAAATTAAGACTTGTATTCGCATGTTGCAATAACAATAACTCATAATAATCACGACTGAAAGTTTATTTTGAAAAAATACATCAGTAATGCAATCATACATACATACATGCGGAATGTCAAAGTGATTTGATCCCTGGATATCATATCTACAGCTGTTCATAGCTTGCATTACAACTGAATAAAGCACAACTTAAATCACCAGTGCCATCAGAGTTAACAAATTTAAATTTGCAATAATTGTTATTTTTAAGTACACATTTAATATCATTTCAAATTTATTGCCACTAGAGGGTAAAAATAAATTACATGACATTAAATTAAATCAAAATAAATCAAGAACACTGAAATTATTACATGTATATTACACAAATTATTGCTGTGTAGATTTAAATTGCCAGCAAATTATCTGTGAGTTTAACAACCATTATAAATATTAAGTTAAAAATATTCATATACCGAGTAGTACACCGGTAATTATATTTCCTTTTTATTGAGATGGTATTCTAATTTGTGAGTGAATAACAAGTAGCATATTGTCACCAAGTTGGATGTCATCAAAATTGACCATCATCAAATGTGTACAGCACATTATTTAGCGTGGAAATATCCCGAAAAATACTTTTGCTTTCATTGAATAGCGCACAATATTTTGATATTATAATATATTATTATACATCTATCACCGTAGCGCCATAAGTTACAGCGTGACGTAATTTTGCGGTATTTTACGGGGTATTTTAATCCTACCATATTAGAAAATACAAATATGGAATGATTACGCACGTAAGCATCCTCTAATAATAAAAACAAACATGGCTGCCACCAGAGTTTGACCGGATTCAAAACAAAGAAGTTCACTGATTCTGTTCTAAACATTTTGAATTTCGGCATTCCCATGATGTATCCTTGGAAGAAAAGATGTATAATAATAAGGTTATTATGAGAATACCTCAAAGTATGCACTCAGACATAACGCTGTGCATCGACCTCCTCTGCATGTCGGTTGATACTCCAGCTGTACTGTCTTCATGCATTCTTTGAGGTATCCTCGAAATAACCTCATATTAATAATTTCAATTACGGCGTTACAACTTTTGTTTACATTCAATTTCACACATAATGAGGGAAAAATAGTCCATTAAAACAAGTGTATACAAATAATATGCAAATGAGATATGCAAATCAGCTTTCCTATTTACAAAAATGGGAAGCCCATATAAGTCAATAAATAAGTAATTTTTTATAAATATTGATGAATAATTAATCTTGGTGACTTACCAATGCACTCTCTTTGAGGTCAAGATTCTGTAGTACAATATCACCTGAAAAAGAAGAAAAAAAATTAATAATAATATTTGCTAAAATTTTATAATGTCCAAAGATTTTGTTCTCAACTATCTGATCCACTTGACAATTGTATTAATATTAATTTATTATCGTAGAATCTGCATCAATCTTATCAAAATAAAATACAGTTTATTTTATTTTCAAAATTTGTATTTAAGTTAAATTTGTCATATATTTTATTTTGTAATTTATTTGCTGGTAGTTTTATTTCTATGTTTTGATAATAACTGAAGGAATGTAGCAATAGTTATAATAGTAACAAAAAAAAAATAAAAAATATAGTTAAAATAAATAAATTTATATTTTTGAACTAAAGGAATACAAGCTGTGTAATACATCATATTTACATGAATCATCATAGAGTATTATAGCTAGAAGGTCACTGACCCTGAAACACAATTAAAGTGTAATATGTCAATCAAGCTTTATGTAAACAATGTACTTTTCACATGTACATGTACATGTATTCTTTCTACATCACATGAAAGCAAATCCCTGGGGTAGCCACAGGTTTCCAGTCCATGCATGGGAGTGACAGGAAGAAAACAAAAACCTTGCCAGTAATTTGGATAGGATTAAATTAAGCTGGCCATGACAAAGACTTCTTGCAATAGTAGTCGAGAAACAGGGGAGGAAGAGGAGGGGGAGGTATGCCAATTTCACATACACCAGTATTTTATCTACATATATACCGATAAACCCAAATCACTGTATGGTGAGATAACTGAGGTGATAATCCAATTAAAAGTGTATTGAAATCTAACCTGAAATCAAAGAAAGCTTAGAAAGAACTCCCGTGTGCTGAGAGTATTGAAGACACATTAAAAATTTATTCAAAATTACTTGTACTTGAGATGTTGATGGAAACGCAGAAAACTAATTATGTAAATAAGGTAACTAATATGAACAGATTTAAGTGTAAAACTAATAAGGTCTGCACAATGTACCAAGTTTCATTAAAATGTGATTAGAACCAAAAAAATAGTAATTATTATGCTAATTAGAGAATTAATATGAACAGATTTTAACCCAAAATTAATAAGGCTGTCTATTGTCCTAGAGCATTTATGTACCAAGTTTTATTCAAA